TATATATATTAAATATTACAAAATTTAGTTTCTTTACCTTTGAAATTTAATTTAATTAATAAAAATATATTAGCAATGACTTATTTTGTGTATTTTTTTTTACATGCCTTTCTATTGAAATGGTGATTTCGATAAATATATAAATTATGATTGAATAATGACACATAAACTATTAATTTTTAATTTTACAAGAATTAGTTTATTATTATTGTTCCTGAGCTTTATTATTATTGTGGACTTTTTGTTTACCACTCCAGGTGAGTTTTTAGAAAAAAAATCCTAAATTGAGTAATTTTTTTTAGAAAACTTTCTGATATGAATTATTTTAAAAAGAAAAACATATTCGAAATGAGTAAATTGTGCCCGGAAAAACATAACTTCTAATATGGAAGTTGAACGTCTATATTTTTTATAAAAGAAAATGGTGTCGTTTTTAAAATGATTTTTTATTTTTCCTAAAAATGTTTTTAATGTAAAAAATATCATTTTAATGAAAATTCAATAAAAAGGTAAGTTGTAATCTTCAAACACAATTTAGTCATTTTAAAAAATAAAAATAAATAAAAGTGAATATTAAACATCATTTCAATTTTTTAAGAAAAAAATAACAATCATTTTTATGAAAAATAACTTCCATGACTTTCATTTAAAAGTCACCTACCTTCAAAAAAAATTTAAAAAAAAGCCTTCCAAAGGTAAAAATAAAAATAAAAAGTCTTTATTATGGAATCACTTAATTTTGAACACTCTTATCCTAGTTATTATGACTAAATATAACGATTAACACATATAAGTGTCACACGTGATAGAAAAATAACTATTTTCGTATTTGATTATTCAATTATCGAGAAAAAGCTAGAGACCAAGCCTTTCGTCATTAGGATATTTTGATTGGGTATCACTATTGATTTTCGAGATTAATTTCTATTATTGATGAGATTTGAAACATTGTCCTACAACAAGTTGTGTTCAATATAAGGTAGTGATCGATGAGTTTTATTCTTTAGTAAGAGAAAAAAAAAAGAAAAAAAAAACAAGGAAATAGTGAATAAATTAGTCTATGATAAATTTGAGAACTCCGTATATTATCATAACTCAATATATTAAGAAGTATAGAAGACTTTTTGTAAAAATCAAGAGTTCAATATTCAAAAAAATATTATATACTTATATTTTTTTTACACGAAAAGTTTAAATTAAGATAAAGCAATATTATATATTTGTATATTATTTACATATGTTTTAAAAAGTATTTAATATTTCTCTCTTTTAAATCTATATTTTTTATTTCATGCTATTTTTTTTTTATATTTTAAAAGCAAAAATGAAACGTGATAATCGTCGAACTAAAATTTTAGTTGGAATAACAAGGAGAAAATAATAACATTAAAGGTAATGAAGGTCATTTTTAACTATGATATAAAGATCTAAAGATATATTTTTGTTGTTTTAAGGTATCCTCGTTTTCAAACAAACAACAAGAGAGGTAGAATAGTTTTCAAGTGTGTTGCTTAGAAATTAGGTCAAGAGTGTGTAAGAGATCTCTTTATTTGACCTTTTTTTATTTACAATAT